TCAGCGTCAGCTTCACTATATTCAGTCACACGACCTCTAACACCAAATATACCAGTCAAAGTCAAGTCCTTCCATTGCGAATCGAGCGGTCCGAGCCTCTTCAGCGACAACTCCTGGCCCCGGCCTCCGCCGCGCAACATCACTAACTCCTGGCCCCGGCCTCCGCCGCGCATCATCACTAACTCCTGGCCCCGGCCTCCGCCGCGCATCATCACTAACTCCTGGCCCCGGCCTCCGCCGCGCATCCTCACTATCAGGACGCGTCGCGCGGGACCGAGTTCACACCGCGCCTCGTCACCGCACCGGCCATTCCGCGGTCAGTCCCGCCCCACACCACTACAGACCCCACCGAACCGCGGACCCGTGGCGCCGCCTACGGGCCGGCGCGGTTCGAGGCCCCTGCGCGCGGCGTCAGCGCGGGTCGTGCGGCAGTTTGAAGCCCACCAGGGCGGCGGTGTCGCGCACCGAGCGCTCGCCGCGGCCGCGAAAGGCCTGCAGCAACTCGGCGTGCCGCCGCCGGCTGCGCAGGTAGCTGCGGTAGGTGTCGGCCAGATAAGTCAGCTCGTCCCGAGCCCGGCAGTGCTGCTCGCCGGTCACCTGCCGACCGGGTCAGCGGTCAGTTCACGCCTCCTGTCGCCCCGGGCGGCGTCAGTCACGCAGTCCCCACACCCGTCACCCAAAGGTCGGGGCGCCAGCAGCGACGCACGCTGGGCGAGGCACGCGGCGACATGGGATGACGCCGGACAATCGCAGTCTCATGATCCTCTGGCAGTGCCAAACAAGATGCAGCGCCAGTCACCCGTCCAATGATGCTGCATGCGAGAGCAACAACTCGGTCATAAAAATTATGATAAGAAACAATGACATGACCAAACTCGTTCGATTCGAGCAAGTCGACAATGGTCACTTTTTGACGAGACGAGACCAGATTACCATGACGCAATAATACACAAATTAGACCGCTGATATTTGTGATCAAAATATCACACCAAAAATAAATAATAAATATTTGTGCATCATATTCACTTCATATATATATATATATATATATATATATATATATATATATATATATATATGTTATACATATCAAGTACAAGTGCAATGAATGCCACAAAGTAGTTCTCTCTAATCGGGATTTCCATTATCTGAATGGCTGTGTCATTTTATCTACGTGCCTTGGAAACCAAGACACTGGAGTGATGTATTCAATATTCACGCAGCCATGCAACTACTTGGTGTTGTTGGTATGCTGTCATCAAGATGAATTATCACTTGTAGTTGAATGTGACCGTACCCAGACACAAGTGGAAAAACTCGTTGCCAGCTTTTACTGTGACTATCGTGTTACACCAATAATCCAATAATATCGTGTTCCCGCGAATAATCCAACATTAGGTGCACCATTGTTCGCCCTCAACGAATGCGTTACCAACGCTGTTCTTGCCATTTAAGTGGGCACAAAAGACCAATGCTGCGGATAGCTCAGCCCGAAACCCGACCACTCTGTGGTCTCCACGCCTCTCTTCTCAGTCCGCCACCATTCCATCCGTCACCACTGGACCGTTGGGGCCAGTTAGGGTCCAACAGGGTACGGACATCGTGCCTTACCAGTGCAGAACACACATGCCGGCTTCGCAACGCGGCCACATACGCGACACCTTAACTTATTCGAACGACAATTTTAGGTTCTAGGACACGACAATGACCGTCACCAGCTTCACCGGTTCCGCCACCTCCAGCGGCGTGGGGTACTCACTGTGCCCATTGTGCCAGATAGTAGGGGAAATGTTGCGATAGCGCCAAATTAACTCCGTACCTTCACAGTGCCATTTCAGTAATCGGCTAACGAATCGCCCGCCGCGCCACGTCAAACGAAGTCAATTCTTGTGTTTGGATTATTCACGCATCGGTTCACATAACCCCAGAGACAAGCTGACGGACGGAAGCCCACTTTCATCCGATTCCAGGACAAAGTGCGAGGTCGTCTGAGATCAGTCCAGCGACATTCCGAGGTCGTGGCCCATGCCGATCTTACGCCTACAATCTTATGGTCATCTATGGCAACGGTACACTACGAAGGCGTTTACTCGAAAGATTCCCACAGCGGCCTCGGGAAACGGTTAAATAATACAAGTGTCAACTGACGGTGGGGCAAACAGGACTCAAGTCTGGCTTCGGCAGCGTTCTCCTGGACCGACTCCCTCCCATAAGGGGGTGGAGACTGCGGGGCTGCCCTGTTCGGGGTCGACGCCGCGTCAGCCAGCAGCCGCGGCGGTGAGCTACGAGTGCCGTCCGCGCGCCTGAGACCTCCGGCGCTGGCGCCCATCCCGGAGTACGGCCTCACTCGGAGTCACCGCCACCGTTCTCCGTCCGCCGGGCGCCGGCCGTTGGCATCAGCTCCATGCATGCATGCGAGATGCATGCATGGACGCCCTAACAGCAAGAGAGCGATCACGATTTTGGAAGGCAGTGAAGTATAAAACTTCAGCCGCGTAAGGAGCTCAAAAGATACCGACATCAACACACCAAATACGCTGCACGTTCCTTCATAAAAAAATAATAAAAACAACAACAAAAGACAAAACAACCTGTCTTCACATCCTGTAGCAGCCTCCGACCAGCAGGCGCGCAAAATGCCGTCGTCGGATGCATTCCTACACGACAGCTTATGGGGCCATCCCATCAGCTCCCAAGACATCAAGATGTTGTCATGCCGGGAGGGAGGGGGCCATTGATCTGGGAGGGGGTAAACTGTGCCAAGGTTGGATGCAGCTATCCGGTTTTCAGATCGGGGGCTAGCCGGCTACCCGATTCCGTGATCAGCTGATGGGCCGGTGATTCCACGGATTAGTATTGATTTTGGGGCGTGGAGTACAAAATGTTGTCCACATGTTTCTATATACCATTAAATCAATTTCATTTGATCCCAAAATTCCAAGGAGCAACGCCCGTTTCCCAAAGTGCGGGTATTGCAAGATGTCCGGGAGCTAGACGGTTACTTGGTAGCGCCTCGCTATTCTGTAAAATCAGTACACCTTGGAAAAAACGACCAGACACCAGGCAACTATGACTTCCTACCATGATCGAAAATTGCTTGCTTCATTCTGCTCTTTTTTCTGATTTCCAGCCCTCATATGTGCTTTTGCCCGGCACGTGTTTACAAGGGCTGGTTGTCCAATAGAATACATGCTTATGCCAGGATGCTCCAATCCTAGTAGGTTATGTGACTAAAAAAAACAACAACTGCAAAATAGAATCGCCATGGCCGGCTACCTGATCATCCAATTTGCCGAAAACCAAACATACTGATGTTTAGAAACACCAGCTCCGTGGTGCTATACATTCAGGCATGGAGAGCCGATGTGTTTATCGGGAGCGATGGTTGTAGAAAGAGTAATCGTCACCAGCAGAGCCCACACCTGACCCCATGAAAGCTTGTCCACGACGACCCCTACATGGGCGACGCTGCAAAGGTCATTCATGATGGAGCCTTCTGGAGCCTTCATCTGGAGCCTTCCACTTCATGATCTCACAAGCTGGTTGAAAGAAGTCTTGTCTTTCACAAATTCGTCCGAGCCAAACCAAATGTCCACAGGTTTTTCTTCCGCGCTGTGCTCCCGAGGGTAAAAAAGCTTCCGGCATTTGGGTTACCCACCCAAATAGATACCACCCACGTAGATACGCTTTGAAGTGTCTGATGCAGCTAAATATCAGAGGAATAGCATCTTCTCTCAGATGATGCTATTCATATTGAGGGAATTCAAAGTATTTTTAGCGAGGCAACACTATCTTAATGAAGCACATGAAGAGCAGATCACAAAAAGCAAGACAAGTGTCACACCTGTAACTGTAACTACAGGGGGCTGGAAGAGCGGGGCTGGGGGCACGTACGCTCACTTTTTCACGGCGTCATTTCGTCCCTCCAGTTTTACCGAGGCATACACTTTACGTTTCACAGCATACAGCATACACGTTGCAGCATACACGTTTCCTTATTCAAAATATAATTCTGACGTCAGCATATCGTCTCCAGATTTCCGTCCGCCAATGCTGATCTGTCCCTCCCCCACCAGTATCAGACGTGGTTCCACTCATGCAGCCGATGACGACCTGCGCAGATAGTTTCGATAGAACCACGTCATCTCCGCAGCAATAACTAATCCACGAGACCAATATCAGAAACAGTAAGGGCGGAAGTAACAGCATGCTGCCAAACCAGTACATCATGGCTAAAGAAGATATACAATTACGAGTAAGTTCGCAAAGATAACATGCAACATCTGGTTTCTTACCTGAAATCTGCGGGCCGTGTCCAAGACATAGTCACGGTACATGTTTGAGGCCTCCGGTCGGGTTGCGGAGGCACGCAGCTCCCTCAGGAGTCCACGCACGAGCCACTTGGCGGCCGTCATGACGGGAGCTGTGAGGGAAACATCATCAGCATCATCTGCACCAGCAATCTGGCGACAGAAAAAATATCTGTACTATAGGTTCTCCATGCCTTTTGAAAGCCCTCCAGTTCAGAAAACATTCTGCACACCCACATCATTTGGTGCACATATTTGTCCCCCACAATGGCCTGCAGATAATTGAAGGGAGACACAGTTCTAAGAAGGTGGTTACTGATCCCATTTAATGCCACAAGTCAAGCAAACTAAAGGTGATACCCAGCAGCCCAGCCTAGTTGTCATGCTGTCAGGAAGCTAGTGACTGTTAAATGGCACCTCAAGCAGTTTTCAGCACCAAAAAAGTATAGTTATTCAAAACTTATGTTGCCAGATTTGAGTGGAGAATGACAGAGGAACCTATCCACCATCCAATGAAACTTAACTATGCTATTTACTAATTCAAATAAAATGCACAGCACAGGATGAAAAAGGTATGATTCTACATGATCCCATCATACCTTGACACAAAAATCATTCCGAAATTCTACCACTGTCTTCAGGATTTAATAAACTGTACCATTACTATTGCCAGTACTAATGCATATTAATAACTATGTGGACAAATGAGTAGTTAGTGCATAGCCATCTGCTTATGACAGGCCAGTAATTTTGTCCTAAAATGTCATAAAATTGCTTGAATGAATATCAAAAACCAAAACACAAAAGTGATTTCCATGACAGCAAAATCTCATGAAAAGCTAAACTGGCTCAACAATTTGATCTAAATTTGATGTCAGCTGCATGTCACAGACTGCAGCAAACTTCCAAGCTGCCACAGTATGATATCAAAAAAGTGTGTAATGGCTTGCAGATGTTACCTCCATCAGATAACTCATCTGTGGACTGTACCCAAGGTAAGAAT